ACAAGTGATTATGATTATTTAAAGCAGTTGACGAAGGAAATTGATGAGGAGTTGGAGCATGTAAGGAGAAAACGGGCATCATCCAATTGTTAATGATCGGCTTAGTATCTCGTGATTGAAACGAAGGATAAAAATGATATGCGCGATGGAAACGTGGAGGATCGATGGAATTCGCAGGCATCGATGATGTTGGAGTGTTTAATTGATGTTTCGGTGTTGGAGCGATCAATCGTGGTTTAGATTCTTTCAATAATTAGTTGTATCGAATAGATGGTATTGATAAAATTGATTTTTATCGTTAATCAAATAATGATTAAATGAATATAACGAAAAAACATATGATAAATAATATAATCAATATAGGGTATTGTTTATTTTTAATTAGAGAGAAGTTGAATTTCTTACCCATTATTAATATAGAAAGGTAAATCCTCTAAAAAAGCTAATTAAAATATTATGAAAACTGTTTTTTTTTTCAGGAATAAGTTAGAACAAAAAAAGAATCATATGCCATAAATGAATAAATAATAAAAAAAAAAAAAAAGGATTCTCATCTCTCACCTTGACTAATGGAGATAATCCGTGCAGGAGGTAGACATGAAAAAACACGGATCCAAAGGAGAAATTCCGTTACCTAATAAAAGGTGTGGATTCTCTCACAAGGAATGATAATCACAGTAACTTAAAATTATAAAAGAATAAAAAACGGCTAAAGGACGATAAGAAAATTTTGAAAATTTTTTAAAGAGAAAAATCAAGAGAAGTAACGAGAAGAAGGAAGTGAAGGGAAACTCGGCAAGTTCGAGAAGTCTTTTATTTAAATGAAATTATAGTAATTTCTCACCCACGAATGGAAAAATAAAAAAATTTTTACACTTATTGATTGATTTAATCGATAAGAATATGCGAGAGGTAAAAAGCAGCGTGAGATATAAGTTTTATATTTGAAAAAAAAAGTTCATGCTTATTTTTAAGTGATCAATTGAGTGATTCTTTTGTGTCGTATCTAGCTCGCACATATACCAGTTTTACTCCGCCGCATGAATGAAACAATTTAACAATGGTTTTAGTTTAGTAAAAAAAAAATAAAAAAAGATAATTGAGTTTCTTAATAGCGTTTTAAGCACAAGTTTCGGTAATTAAGTAAGTGGTGGTAACTGATTAAAATTTTGATAGCGAATTAAAATTCATTCACGCTTCGTAAAATGATCCAATTGAAAAAAATTGAAGATCGATATGAATCAAATTAGAATTAAAATGAGAAAGGGGTGGGAATTATTACGTATTACATATTAGAAACGTATTATTGTTCATGTACGCAGGTATTTAGTTAATGTAGTTTTTTCTTATATTATCGTTATCATGCAAACTCCGTATATACGGGATATGCGGAATGTGCGGAATATACGGTATGGCTTTTTTTTTTAACACCTTTTAACTTATTTGGTTCGTGTGTCTTGTGAAAAATATGGCAGTATAAGAGTTTAAAATAGTAAATGTATTATTATAGCTTGTTAAAGTAAACTTGTAATTTGCGTCAGTGAATTCTGCGCAGTTATAGAACATATTCGGATAATTATTGTAAGTATTCTACGTGTTTCTTTCAATCATAAGGCGTAAACCACACTTTTGGTTTTCAATTTGTAACACTTGAAAACTTGTAACTTCTTGAGAAAACATGAAATTGTCACGTGAATTAGATCATTGCAACATTACATATACATAACAGTATATATACATTGACATTATAGTATATGTCATTAGAATTATTAATATTATTTGCATGTGATTAACCAACTATACTTTATGAGTTTTAATTAAAGATGTATCAAGTCATCTAAATAATTGATAATCAACCTTCAGAACACAAGTTTAATGACGACAAGATTTTGTGCACCACTCAAGTATGTATATAACCATGAACTGAGCATGATAAATACGTATACTTTTTATTACTCTGTAAAAATAGAATTATACTAACTATACATACTGTATAATTAAACTCTGTATACTCTGTATACTAAGTGATTACACCTCAAAAGTATAATAGAGCCTTTTATAATTGTCTTTTTTCCTATACTTATCATACTTATCATACTGTAATAACAACTGTAATATCATACTGTAATATCATACCATAATACGTATCATACCGTAATACGTATCATACCGTAATATCGTACTGTAATATTGAACCGTAATATCGTACCGTAA